CCTTTGTTCTGCCTCTAACAATTATTGGTTTAGGTCCTCATATGAAATGGCCAGCAAACCAGGATTTACAACCAGATGTAGAGTTATATTGATGTTTGATTTTCCCATGGAAATGGTCAGATATGTGTAAATAACCACAATGGAATTAACGACTGGTGTGTAGTACATTGTTGCAAGAAATAGGTTTTGATCAATAATGCTTTCAGAAGCTGAATGGCACAACAGCGCCAGAAGGGTTAAGGCCTGTCCACCTGCAATAGGTTAAAAAAATGCATAGGTGTGCTTGTCAGATTGAGCTGTTGATATCCAAATCACAAGACCCAGGAATGCAGAATCTATTGTCTAGAGCTAGGGAAAGAGTAATGTCCAATTATAGGTTGAGCAGAAGGTGACTAAAGATATTGAGTCCACATAGAATGGTAGAGTATGTCTGAGTGTTAGGAGAATCTCAGGTCTGTTTCAAACTGAGGCACTTGAGGTCGGTACACCCATGTGTGTTTTAAACAAATTCATTAAATCATTGTTCCATGATTGAACAACTGTCAGTTTTAAAAATGGTTAGACTGTCCAACATTGGGGACAGGTAACAAGCAATGAGTTCTCATAATCTCTGATCCATAATCGTGGAGTTGTGGTAAGCAGGGCGGGGAGGAGAGCTTGGTCTATTTAGACAGCTGACTCCTCCCCCGCACCACCGGCTTGGCCTCCTGTGACACGGCTCTCCATCCTGATGTGTCACAGGAGGCCATGCGGGGTGGAGAACCCCGCCTCCTGTGACATCGCGGCTCACAGGGCTCTCCGCCCTAATTGGCTGCCTGAACGTTTCTCTCCTTCCAGCTGCTCGCTTGTTTATTGTCACATGTGGCGTATGTGTGTATTACTTGGTTGTAAATCCTTTAATCATCTTTGCATTTGTGCTGACACTATCCTTTCTTTTAAGAGATGGCTACATTTGTTACCCATGGTCCTGTGTGTATTAAGTTATTAAGGACTCTCAAGATTTTGCAAAATGGTTTTCTTAGCTGTGTCAAGTCCTTTATCTCTCCCAGGTGTACTGATAAGATTAGTTTAGTGCAGGGGGAAAATGATTCAAAGCCCTGCTTTGTACATGAAGCACATGGCACTTACAGAATGTGCCAGCATGTCTTAAGTCTTCCTTTCTTGGAAATTGTTGGCCTTACACTCTGAGGTGGAGGTCATAATGGGTATTTTCACCTTGTTGTCCATGTTTCCTGTACCACGTGTGGATGAATGAGAGCCAAAATGTTCCGCTTTGATCTCTGGGATTTTTCTTTCCTTTGGAATAGGCCACTATCAGGTGAATTTGCAAAGTATAGTGTCTTCAGACTGTTTGCCAGACCACACCCTCTTTTTTCATGTTTTTTAATCCATTTTGCAAGGGCATGCATGCATTCTTATTGCCAGCAATTTGCTTTTTCTTACAATAAGAATGTGTGAAATTAAGAGGTTACTGTACATATTCATTAAGATTAATGACAGCAAGAATTAATTAGTTGGCCATATAATTGAATTAAAATTTAATTCTTAAAGTGACTGATTTGACAGGATCTTTGTAGGTCAGTCAATATATATATCAAATTGAGATGCCATGTCTCATAGTGTCTTGTTTTAAACCCCTATATGTAAGTATGCTTAGCTTTCTAATAACACAGCCTATTTTTAAAGATAGACTATTTTTAAGGATGAAAACTGAAGAAAAAACAAGACTGAGTGACCATAGCAATTCAGACTTACAATGTCTAAACTGCACTAGTAATAATAAATATGTAAGTGGTTGGGTCATATCTCCACTTTTCTGTTCAACTTGTCTACTTCGAAAAAAGCTGCAATGTTGCCATGACCTTCCACCAATGTACTGGACAAGACTGATAAAGCAGATACACACGCTTGACCCAAGCACTGATGGGCGATATGGTCAGATGTATTTTTCATGCAATTACATTTCCCATACCCTTCAATATCCTACTGATGCCAATCAATATTATATTCTACTTTTGTTTATTTTTTTTTTGTTTTTTTAAGGGGTTTTTTTGCAAACAATACAGAACAATAGCTAGAAAAAATGACAGCACAACAACATGATTATGGATAGCATACAAAAGAAAAATTAGATAGAAGGGTGCAATTACATCAGAGCGGGGATCCTGGGTAGCAGGAAAACTCAGTGAGTTTTTTTTTTCTGAAACAGTAACAGAGTTTATTTGACAGAGAGGCCTGGTCTCACAATCACACAGAACCACCATGGTAGTATTAAACACTATCAAGATTGGCAACCATCGAGAGCTCCAACCATTTGGACCAAATTTATTTGGGCAACCTTTGACTTTCTATGTCAGCTTATAAAGGGAAACCGTCTGATTCACCAAGGATTTTCATTCTGTCAAAGAAAGTGGATTACTTATTTGCCAGTGGATAATTAATTTTTTGCATAGAAAAAAAGTATAGTATTTAGAGTTTTTAAGAGTAGAGGGATATCTAGATCACCAGCATATCCCAAAATACACTACAGTGGGCAATGAATATGAGGGGCATCCAAATTATCACTAATAAATGTAGTAACATTACACCAATAAGAACTAATTACAGAGCTACTCCAAATCATGCGCCAAACATCTGCATAGGCTGCAGAGCAATGAGGACAGTAAGACGAAGCAAGTTTGCTCATATGAATATGAAAGCCTAGATGGAGTGAAATATATTCTATGCAAAAACTCAATTTTACCAGTTTGTACCTGGCAACAATAACCGATGGTATCATATGTGAAATCACAGATTCCCACACCTCATCAGATGAGGATGGAATATCATTCAACCTCTTGTCACGCAACCTATAAAAATTAGAATTACTAGCCAACAAAAGATTAGAATAGTAATGTGAAACTAGCTTAGTACGATCAGGAGTAAGGAGCAATTTTTCAATCAAGTGAGGTTGTAAACAGATGCCATGCAGCTCAACCTGGGCTGCGGTCGCATGTCGAAGTTAGAAATATTGGAAGAACCACTCCTTAGGGAGTTTAAATTCACTCCGGAACTCATCAAAAGACTTAGTGACCATCCGAAAAGAGCTGGTGCAGATATATGATACCAGCCCTTGCCCACAGCAATTGATCTGGTAAGTGTAGGAATTCCGGTAGATATTGACTAAACCACAATGTAGAATTTGGAGAAAAGGGGGCAGAGGCTGGTGCAAATGTTCGAACACACCATTTTATAAGTTTAAGAGAAACCTGTACAGTGTCAGTACCTGGAACTGGAGAAAAAGTTCCCCTGTAAAAAGCTTTGGTTAAAGATTTGAATGAGGATAAAATGGCTGCTTCCAGGCTGCATTGGGAAACTGAGGGCACATCCTAGTGTCACCAGAGTTTTGTCCACAATGTCAAGTATACACGGCATTAAACAAAAAAAACATGTATTAATCCATAACCATAGAAATGGGGGAAAAAAGTTATTTGTAAATGTGCTATGTAGAAAACTCAAATAGGGTGAACAGCGAGTTATTGCTTCCCATAGGAAGGAAATTGTTATATTGGTTACATCTACTGTATAAGTTACTTATGTAGGGTTATTTTTACCAAAAAGTTATCTTGGGTTAGTCTAAAGCAGCAAGATAGAAAGACCCGCACCAGCATTACTATATGTTTCACTTTTTGTTTCATGTGTACTGTTTCCGACTACCTTTTTTTCCCCCATAACAATTTTTATTTTGAAAAAAGGATTGACATTACAATCTGATACAAAAAAAAACATACATAAATTGTAACCATCTCAAAGTGATATGACATAATAATCAGTCGTATTAGTATTCGATTCTTCTATAGTACACACAGTCTGACTACCTTTTTGATTACATGCAGTATGAATAGTGTGGCAGTGTAAGCCAATGCCACGGTGGAGGATGGCGACCTTGGCACCCAGGAAGAACCTGGCTTTTCAGGTTCTTCCTTATAACCTGAAAAGCCAGGTTCTTCTTTATAACCTGTTTTACTTTCTGGGCCCTCTCAGCCCCTTTGGCTGAGAGTCCTGGGTGCCAAGATCGCCATCCTCCACCGTGGCATTGGCTTACACTGCCACATATCCACTTATAACAAGGACACTCCACTGTAGTCCAGGTAAATCAAGTAAAATGCAGTTTATTAAAGGGCAAACACAAAATAGCTTGCAGCAGCAACACAAGACAGTCCTTTATATGGCTCAGTATCTTTCCTCATGAGCCCTCACTCTGCTCTCTCAGAAGTGTGTCCCAGTGGTCCTAGGGTCACCGACCTTCCTGACCTCTCCCAGCCTTCCCTGGCTGTTCCGCGTGTCCCACACGCACCTGAGTCTGCTGTGGCTTTGTGCTTCCTGCACCCACACAACTCCAACACTCCTCTCTGAACTCTGGTTCAGACTCCTAATAAGGCTGCTCTCAGCCACCTGATCCAGCTATACTGGTCATCAGAATCACCTGGCCCCAGGACTAGAGATTTCATCCCACCCAGAGCCCTACGAAATCTCCAGAGCTCCAGATCCCAGCTACATTTAGGAAAACTTGGAAGAACCTGAAAAGCCAGGTTCTTCCTTATAACCTGAAAAGCCAGGTTCTTACTTATAACCTGCTTTACTTTCTGGGCCCTCTAAGCCCCTTTGGCTGAGGGTCCTGGGTGCCAAGGTTGCCATCCTCCACCGTGGCATTGGCTTACACTGCCACAATAGGAATACTTGCATGCAAGAGCTGCAAAATACAGTTATTGGCAAAATATATGGTCCAGTGGTAGTTTTCCGAATAAAAAGAATTTAGCATGTTGTCTCAAACAGTACATTTTGGTTTTATTTTTCTTGGTATTTGTTATATAACATATTTGCATAATTTGTCTACTTAAACTAGCATTAACTCTAAAAACAGCCCTGGGTGAAAAAAATATACTATATGACAGAATCTTTGTTATGATCATATGGGTAGTATTTCAGTGAAATTATATCAGAGTTTTGGTTTCCTACAGATCCTGTTTTCCCAGTGCATGATCCTGCTGGTTGTTATGCTAATGGACAGATAAGAAGTCATGGTGATCGCTGGAGAGAAGATGACTGCACCTTCTGCCAGTGCATTAATGGAGAACCTCACTGTGTGGCCACGGCATGTGGACAAAGCTGTCTTAAACCAGTGAAAGTGCCTGGCGAGTGCTGCCCAGTGTGTGAAGGTATGGCATTAACACAATGTCTGGGAATAAGATTTAAAGTGAACCTATTCTGTCCCCAATGTGTATAAACTGTTAAAGTGCCAGAACCCTCTTGAAAGTACCTGTGGGTTGAGATTAAGCCCCACTTCCCATTCAGTTGACACATAAACCCAGCAAGGTATTGTTAAACACAAGATTTTCTAGATATGTATATTGAACTCTTATAAACCCACAATGTCAGAAGTATACCCTTCAATGTTTGTTTGTTTGTTTTTTGTGAATTGTTTTGTTTGTCTTATAGTTTCTCTCTATCCATACCAATGTTTATTTGGGTTAAATGTTGTGCCTGCACTTTGTGGGTGTGTGTTTTTTATCATTGTATATAGGTTTCAGGGATGTTTATTCTGTAAGTATCTGAGGAAGGGCATACTTCGTTTGAAACATTATGCTTTGTAAAAGTAATGCATCTATAAATGTCCTGCATTGGCAAAGGTCAGGTTTAGTTAAAGAGCAAACATTACCTTCCCAAACAGTGTACCTGGTAAACATATACCACTTATGACTTTATATAACAAAAACAAATGATTAAAAGCTGTGCCAGAAAAATTGCCCCTCTTAACCAGAAGCAATAAATGCTTTTAATGCAGTGTGAAATGACTGGATGCCCTTTAACCTTGTGCTGCTTATTTTATGCTACTGCCTGCATCTGAGAGTCAAGGTGTGTTACTGAAAAATACACTGAAGGCTGATTTAGAAATGTTCCTGAAGACAACAAACAGCAGACATTGCAGCTTTAACCAGTTTTTAGAAAACTGATTTGTGGTCAGAGTCCGTGGAATGTTCACTGCAAACAGAATCTGTATTTATAAATTGCATACAAGTGTGTTTTTAAAAGGATTTGCTTTCTTTAAATGTAACTTTTACCTAACACTTCCTTTTCCATGATAAGTTGAAATGAGTCATATTTTAGAGCCTCCTGTAGGATAGTGAAAAAATATAAATAATGCACAGTTTTTTCTAATAATAATGGAGACAACCTCTAAAAATAATCATAAGTGGACTGTAAATAAAAATATAAGTGTATTCTACAGGAATTAAAAAATATCTGGCTTGGTTGCACATTTGAAACTATTTTATTTTCCTTGAAGTCTGTTGGGTTTTTCTAATACCAGGAGCTGTGTTTGAAAGTTATCTATTGTATTTTGTACACTTTAACATTAACAAAGGAAAACATGCTATTATGCTAAAGAAAGCCAAGGTGTTGGTAAGTACAGTTTTCTGCACCATGAAAAGGTACTTGGAAACAGGAGGTAACTGTGATAGGAATGAGTCTGACAAACCCATAGCCACAACAGAATCAGAAGACAGGTTTCTGAGAGGCAACACAAGCGTGGTTGGTGGTTATATCTGGAAAAGGTGACTACATTGATGATAATTTGTGCTATGATTTAATTCCTTCTAGGGTTGCACCAATACTTTTCAGATACCAGTGCCGATACTCTGCATTTTCAGAACTGCCAGAGTTTCAGCAGTTGCAGCTGGGACCTGGCTCTTGCGCTCCACCACTGTCCTGAAATTAATAGTCGATATTGTTTTAGAAAAACTGACACATGACAATAGACAAAAATGTATCAGTACTTGTAATTAGCAAGTAGCAGTACTTGTTCTTGCAAAAATGGTATTGGTGCATACCTTTATATTTATAAAAACAAAATCATACATTAAAACAGAGATGTACAAATCCCAGGAGCTCCATGTGCTCCTTACAAATGACAGCTGCTTCCTAACTTTGTAATTTTTCTCTAGTCTAGTTTTTGAGCTCGAAAAGTATCTGTACATGTACTTGTACTTGTATCGAGTATGGTACTTGGTATCGGTGCATCTCTACACAGTACATTAAAGTCCAATGTTGGGCACAATTAACTTCCTGAAATTTATAGTAAGTTGTAGAGGCCCTTTGCTGTAAATCTGTATGCCATAACCAGATCTGACTCCTTCCTGCAAATCTTCAGTATACCTCAGGGTGGAAGTCCAGCTCCCAGTGATCTTCTGTGCCTACTGCAGCTGTAGCGCTGCAGGTGTCATGGAGCTGAACGTCCCTGTCCCGCTCTGTGGTGTGGTTTGCTTTGTGAGCACTTACTGAATACTTACTTATTTTTAAACTATGTATAAGTAAGTGAGCCCTTGCCCTTGGATTTACTTTGGATTGTTTATCTGTACTGAAGTGTGATCTTTTGTAGGGCTACTTAAAAACTCCCCCCCCCGGCCGCCCCTCATTCCCCCTGTATTAAATTAAATCTCGGAGGAATTGTTTCCTAATTTTCCTTAATACAAACTTTTGATCTTTTTTGAGGGCAAGTATGGACTATTATCTTTCCAAATAGATCAGAGACTACTGGAATCACTGACTGTACTTGTCCAAATTGTTTCTATTTTAGAACAATAGTTCAACTTCCAATACTTGAATAAGTTTGGTAGCTAAATTTTCATCTAATATTAGTTGGGACAGAGCACTTCATGATATGGCAATCTGTATATTAGATTTTGGATGACTTCATAGATTCAGCAGCGGTTTTGCAAGCCCACCGTCCTCTTAATAGCATAGGTTTATTGAGAGAAGGAACTGATGAAGTATGATAGTGTTCTTCTCATTACATTTAATGGATTGTAATATTATCAAAGAAAAAGGGGAGGAGGTAAAAAGCAGTTCTAAATGGGATGTTCAATGTCTTATCATTAAATATGTAAATTACTATCTTCTTAGTTGATGTCAAAATAAGTGTAGCAAGCAGTACAGAATAAAAACTTTGGTTACAGGCATGAATTTAGTGCGTTGTGGTTTTATGGCTATAGGTCCACTTTAAATGAATGTGTATCTTTTTGTTCCCCTTGGTGTAGTAATCTTCCAGGCATTTCCTGACAGTTATTTGTTTCAGAAAGATATTCCATGTGAGTAGAACCTGCAGCACACTTCTGCTGGAGGGCAGTGGCATATCTGAAAGAGTTTAATGGCTTCTATAGAGGTGCATAGCATTAATCAAATATGCTTAAGATGACAATACATTATGCTAAAATAGCAGTGTTTTTAAACTGCTCAGGCTTCCTCAAATCTTACTGAAAGATATGAGAGATATCAAGTGTTCGAAGAGTCATTTAACAGTGATTGAAGATGGTACAAGTTGCTGAGAGCTATTTATATCTTTGACTTAGACTGTATGACGGCTGAAAGATACATCACGCTGTCTGCTTGAATGTGTTTCCTCTCAGTGTACCAAGTGAGGATAATATATTGAGTCACTTGTACCCATTTACCTTGGATCACCTCAACTTGACGAGCTCTTTTTTTTCTGTACGTTTAGAAGAAAACTTCATATACTTATTATAAAACAATGATATAAGAAGTAAAATTATGATTTCTCCCTTAGTTCCATTCTGAGATAGAGATTGCAGGTTCAAAATAATATAATATAGGATATGCATTAGCTTAGTTGGTTAGAGATAAATAATGTTTGTTTAGTTTAATTGATTTTTTCTTTTCTTTAATTAGAATTTTTAAATAATAACTTCACCACCTGGACTTCTCCAGGATGCCATCTGGGTTTTTAGGAATATGGTGGGCAGTTGCATCAATAAGATGAGCAAGATCATAACCCCATGGATGTGTAGTAATGTGTGTTCATTTCCCGCTGCACTAGATAATTTCTAAATTCCACAGTCACGTGAAGCACAATGCTGCCATTAATATGGTGGCTGATAACACTAAACCAATGAGCAGTAAAAGCTTTTAAGGTGTCGCCTATGGTCAATTTTTGGTATGGTAGTTTTTTTTTGCAATTTTGCAGGTGCAGACAATTTTAAGGCATGACATGTTTGGTGTCTGTTTACCCGTCGTAACCCTGTCTTTTATATTTTACCCAAGAATATAGTAACAAATAAAAACCCCAGTGGTGATTAAATACCACCAAAATAAAGCTCTATCTGTCCCCAAAAAATGGTGTAAAATTTATTTCAGTACAGCATTGCATGACGGAATAAATGTCAGTCAAAATACTGCAGTGCTGAATACTGAAAAATGGCATGGCCAGGAAGGGGGTAAACACCTGGTCTTTAAGTGGTTAAGTATACTGTTAAATAGTGCCCTCTCACTTTGGTGGTTATTGTAGAAATGCCCATTGGCGGTCAGTGTAGATCTGTGACCTTACATTGATGAGGCATGTAGCAACAGCTTGAAAGCTACTGAGTCCCTAGATGGTTAGCATTCATCTATTTAAATTTGCTAATTTTATGGAAAAGTGAATGTATGGTACTTTCCTATGATCAAGATCAGCAGGAGAGGTGAATCACATATATGTTTCTAATGGCAAGGTCACATGAGTGCTTTTCATCATGCCAGTGATTTATTTTCAGTGTAGAGTCCACTCATGCAGTTTTCAAACTGAGCTGATAACTGCTTCATCATCACAGCATGATTATCAATGAGAAACCCTTTGATGCTATTGTACATTATTGAAGGGTAGTTATGTTTATAAAAAATAATTTTTATCTGAGATTCCCATACTTTGAACATATATTCTTTAGTGCTCCCTTCAGTTTCATAGTTCTCAAAGAAAACTTTGGAATGCATTCTTTGTAAATGCAAGAACAAGTACTGTTTTCCTAACCATAGCTTTTGTTGATCTGCAGTTTATGTATAAAGCCCATAAACAAGCCTTGTTCAGATTCAAGGGGTGGTTTATTAAGGGAGATGTTAGATGGTATATTCAGAAGAAACCTGCACAGATGGAAGTATGAAGACTTCCACTGTTGACCTATCTTCTACAATGCTGGTTGTCTGACTACCATGCTGATTTAATGGCTTCAGAACTTTCTAAATTACTGACCTGAAGCAAGTGTACAGATCAGGATGACTGTATTTAGTCTTAATTATTATTATTATTTTTTCCAAGTTTTATACATCTTCTGCTTCTTCTCATATAGTAGCAAAATAGTGATCACCTCCTCACAAACAATAAAAAGTCCAT